CAAAATCATTGTAAAAGTAAATCTCAAACCATGCCTGTAGAATCAAAACCGTAGAACCTATGAGTCATATAACTCAAACCCAAGTCGACCTCAGGTATAAAACCGCATGAAGAGTACAACACAAACGGAAAGAAATCTGTATGCCTTAAATTGTATAGAAACGCGTACATAGTACGCAGCACGGTATAAATACCGTTAGGGTCTCAGCTTATAGAAACCCTTATACTACGCATACTCGCGCAGGCAAACTCACATACCCAAAAAATCATGTATAGTATTTTATAGCACTGTTAGGTCATAGGTGCATACAGAAGTCTGCATGCCTTAAAATCGTACAGAAACGCGTACATATTACGCGGTACTGCATAAATCCCGTTAGGGTATACCATCAAGTAGAAACCATCACGCGCTGCAATGAATAGACGATCAGACAAAACAAATAAACGTTAGAGTCACACATAGCATTGCACACAAACACACCCACACAATATCACACACGAAAAGAAAACAAGCAGAATTGAACTTAGGTAGGTAAAGAAATAGTAAAAACATAGATAATGCATAAACTGCATACACACATTGTACAAAGACACGATCACACATGCAAAAATACACAAAGTACATGCAAACTCAGCGCACAAGCACTCACATACCTAACGGTGATCGAATCATGCGATTTGGTACCTGAGTGCTTAGTGAGCAGACATTTGAACAAATAGAGTAATAAGTTAGATATAAGTTGGTTCTAAGTTGCGCATAAGTAGGGTCATGCAAGTCGTAACTGAGATTGCGACTGCAGCCAACCTAAGCTAAGCATACACATAAGCATATTACCTCAAACTGATGTAAACACATAGAGTATGTTGGCATTAGGACAAGCAAGCGAGACCCCCGGCTATAAAAGAGCGGCGCATCGCACAGACTCGTTCAGTTTGGTGTCATAGCCGTCTAGGTAAGTACCCTCAGACAATCCAACTAGCTGACCTGTACAAATAGTTTTTTTTGGACTTAACGGATAGGGGATGAGCTGGTTCAGCTTTAATCGCCATCCC